ATTCTATTCTATTCTATTCTATATTCTGTTCTGTTCTATTCTATTCTAAATTCTATTCTATTCTATATTCTGTTCTAGTCTAAATTCTATTCTATTCTATTCTATATTCTGTTCTAGTCTAAATTCTATTCTATTCTATTCTATATTCTGTTCTAGTCTAAATTCTATTCTATTCTATTCTATATTCTGTTCTGTTCTATTCTATTCTATTCTATTCTATTCTATTCTATTCTATTCTATTCTATTCTATTGTTTTTCTATTCTGTTCTGTTCCGTTCTATTCTTTATTCCATTCCATTGCCATCGTGGTGCAGTGGTTAAAGTGCACCCTTGCAGGCTGACTCTGCCCACTGCCAGCAGTTCGATCCTGACTGGCTCAAGGTCGACTCAGCCTTCCATCCTTCCGGGGGGGGGGTCGGTAAAAATGAGGACCCCGATTGTTGGGGACGATATGCTGACTCCGTAAACCACTCAGGAGAGGGCTGTAGAGCACGGTGAAGCGGTATACAAGTCTACGTGCTGTTGCTGTTGCTTAACCACAGAAATGTTGGGTCCAGTTCTGATGGTTAAGTCGAGGACTGCAAACAGCCAGCAGGGGAGAATGGACACGTGGCTTATGGTCTTCTTCTCCAATCAGCTATCTGGTTTGTTCTACTGCAAAAGGAAAATTTTCCCAGCATTCTTGGCAATCTGTCGCTCTCTCCTGGCTGAGGATTCTGGGACAGCTCGCCCTGGCCAATCGGAAAGAGGCCAGACTGGGTTGGTGCTGGGCATAGCTGGAAGCAGGAAAGACAGCAGAGCCTCGTAGATTTCCAGGGAAATCATTATGCTAAATGGATTATGGCTCCGAGTCAAAATGCCAGAGAAGAAGAAGAAAAAAAAAAACCACTCTGCAGAAACCCTGCAGAAGCACCTCCTTCCTTCCTTTATCACTTTAAGGTGGAAAGAGAGGAAGGTCCGACACTTAAAATCGTCGATTAATAAAAACATTACCGTTCGGACCGGTCCTTGGTCGAAGGTTCGTACATAACGCTTTGGAGGTTTCGGGCAGGTAACAAGCCTTCCCTCCCACTCCCTTATTGTAAGTAAGGAACGTACTTAAGGTTTTGCCAACCAACGTGCAGCGTTTTTTGGGGGGGAAACTTTGAAATTGAATACACCAGTGGAAGAGACCTGATGAGGTCACCTAGTTGGGGAATGAAACGTCCGCAAGAAAACAAGCAAGCTGGGAGAGCATCAAGAGACCCACAAAATGAATATATTCGGGAGTCCTGGGCGCTCTCTGAGCTGGGTGGTTTTTTTGCGGACGTTTCATGACCCAGCTAGGTCACATCATCAGTGCCAGGGGTGGGGTTTGGAAGCAGGAGGAGGAGGAGGAAGGACTGTGGGGTCCTTGGTGCTCTCTGACTGGGTGGTTTTCTTGCAGACATTTCATTACCTGACTGGGTAACATTATCAGTGCTGGAAGGGGGGAGGAGGAGGAGGAATAATGAAGGACTGTGGGGGTGCTGAGCTTGGGGGTTTTCTTGCAGACGTTTCATTACCCAGCTAGATAACATTATTAGTGCTACAATGGAGTAGAGTTGGTGGAGAGGAGGAGGAGGAATAATAATAATAATGTGGGGTCCTTGGTGCTCTCTGAGCTGGGTGGTTTTCTTGCAGACGTTTCATTACCTAACTAGCTAACATCATCAGTGCCTAGAATGGAGTGGGGCTTATGGGAGGAGGAGGACTGTGGGGTCTTTGGTTCTCTCTGACCTTGGTTGTTTCCTTGCAGATGTTTCGTGACCCAACTAGGTAACATCATCAGTGTTAGAAGGGAGTGATGTTTGCGGAGAGAGGGAGGAGGAGGGGGAAGAAGAGGAGGATGAGGAAAAGGACTATGGGATCCTGGGTGCTCTCTGAGCTGGGTGGTTTTCTTGCAGATGTTTCGTGACCCAACTAGGTAACATCATCAGTGCTAGAAGGGAATGGGGTTTGCAAGGAGGAGGAGGACTGTGAGGTCCTTGGTGCTCTCTGAGCTGGGTGGCTTTCTTGCAGACGTTTCATGACCCAACTAGGTAACACCATCAGTGCTAGAAGGGAGTGGGGTTTATGGCAGGAGGACGATGACTGTGGGGTCCTTGGTGCTCTCTGAGCTGAGTTTTTTTTGGCTGCAGACATTTCATTATCCATCTAGGTCATGGGTGTCAAACTCGTGACGTCACGTGACATGTTGCA